GTTGGAGGCCTCCCCGGATTCCTGCTTCTGGTCTGGCCTCATGCCCCACGCCGCCGCCCAGGAATCCCAAGAATCGGAGTGGAATTGGGTGGTCATTTTCCCTTTCCTTCCGCGCGTCCTCCGCATGGGGCCCAGCACTTTGCAAGTCAGCTGGAGCCCTGGCGGCTCTGCCCAGCCCTCGGCCTGGGGGGCAGGCCTGGCGGAGGAAGTTTGTGGAAGTGTGAGGGTTTAGTGAGGTTTGTTTTGTGATTGTGTGCGATTGAGCATGTGGGCTCTGGATGTGTTTACTTGGGGGATGTGAATCTGTGTGTTTATAAGCCAATGTGTGAGTGTACCCTGGTATGTATAAATGTGTCTGGCAGGGCGTGTGAATCTGTGTTTACTTGTGAGTGTGTGTGAACATGAGTGCATGTATCTGGGCATGAAGTTGGGATGTGAGGACGCCTGTACGTGTATTTGTGAATATATAAAGACGAGTGTTTCTTTGTGGCTGTGTTTGACCATATATATTTCTTTATAGGTGGCGTCAGCCTATAAATATGGGATGGTGTGCGTTTGTGTGTAAAAAATGTAAAGGGAATGTGTGTACGATGTTGGAGTTCACTAGTTGGCAGCCACCAGGAAAAAGAACAGACCCCAGCACAGAACGAAATAGGCCAGCATCAGCCGGCACAGCGGAGGGGTGCGGGGATGCATGGCTAACCCTGACCCCCTCCCAGCCTTAGGGAGACAGAAAATAGAGCATCCGTTTGTTTTTAAATTGTGTTTTATTTCTCCTTTCTTCAGATACACACAGAATGTAAAGAGGACCACAGGGCAGGCGGGAGCAGGGAGCGTCGGGCAGGGCAGGTGCACAGAGAGGACAATGGAGCTAGTCGGTGGGTCCTTGGGGCTCCCTAAGGCCCCTTCAGTGCCTCTACTGGGAAGGTGGGCTCATGGGCGCGGGGAACAAAACGTTAGTCCAGACCCACAGACCACAAAGGACAGCGTCAAAGAAAGGGGCTTACAAAACAGCAACATTTTACAAAGACCTTACAGTTAGCGACATAAAAAAAGGGGGAGGCAAATTCCAGAAAGCTATAGAACAGGTAGGTGACGTCCTTCCCCTACTGTACAAGACAAACCCGGCGGACTTTTCTATAGGTAGTTTTTGTTTTCAGTGTTAAACCAAAATTTCACCTTCTCTCCTTAAGCAATTTTTTTAACTGTTTTCCATTTCAATAGGGTTTCCTCCCCTATTTGATCTGCGTTTCCTGGTTCAGTCCCCAAAGCTGGGCTTCTCCCTCTCTCCCCTCCTCATCTCTCTCTTCCTCCACCCGTTCTCCATCCCTCACTCTTCCTCGTCCTCCTCAGCCTCAGCCTTGTCCTGGTCAGTGGCTCCGGGGCCCGCGGTCTTGTTCTCCTTTTTCCACTTCATGCGGCGGTTCTGGAACCAGATCTTGATCTGTCTCTCCGTGAGGCAGAGCGCGTGCGCGATCTCGATGCGCCGCCGCCGCGTCAGGTAGCGGTTGTAGTGGAACTCCTTCTCCAGCTCCAGGGTCTGGTAGCGCGTGTAGGTCTGGCGGCCCCGCTTGCGGTCGGTGGTCCCTGCGCACAGTGTTTAGAGAAAAATCAGCGCGTGCGGGGCGGCGGGGGGGAGGGAAAAAGCCAGGAGCCTGCCCGTCTCCCTCTTAGACCTTGTGTGTGGTTTGGAGATTTGGAGTCAGTGGTTGGAAGAGCCCATTTTCCCTTTAACCAAAATTTCACTTTCCATACCCCAGCCCATGCCCACCCTCTTCCTCCGTGTGCAGACATTTCTACAGGCCTGCGCAGGCAAACATTCCCATTTTCCAGCTAAGAAATCTTCCAGGCCTGGGCTTCTGAACCCAACGTCTAAAGTGCTGCCTGTTAAAGGCCCAGCACCTAAGGGGTGTATGTGGGATGAAGGGACCTTAATCTTTCCATCGCCTTCAGGACTAGGGACCTCAAGCCCTTGGATGCTGGCTCTGATGGTCTTTGGGGTAGGGGGCAATGGGAACCATGTGAGTGACCCCAATATAAAGCACTAGGCCTGGCCTGAGTGCTTTTCCCCCAAAGAAAAGGAGACAAAGGACCCTCATATGTCCAGTCCTTCTCCTCCTTTCCC